CCCCCCCCACACACACACACACACCCCTGTCTCTACATCCCTGCTGATCTTAGATCAGATATATTATTTACATCTGGACTAGATATCCAAAAAATATACTGCACCTATGTATACAGTTGTATTTCCTGGTTTAATAGGTCTAATGAATGTAAAATAATACATTTTCACTAAATTACTTCCATCTAGAAGATCCTTCAACTGTACGTATAAACAGACTGAGCTTCCACGCTAGTGACTACCATAGACTATATTAATATAAAATAGTCCTGTCAGACCAGCCTGTTTTCTGTGTTAATTGTAGTTTTGTACCTGCAAGTGGATAGGGCATTTGTAGTGTTGTAAAATATGCCAACAACGGGCTTGCTTCTTATATAATTTTAATATCCAAATACCCACATAATGGTATATATTAAAATTCCAGATCTGTGCAAGAACGTTCGATTATAAACGCAATTGTGAACTCACTATCAAGCTTTATATGAAACGTGATCAAAATCTCTTTGACCAGAAGCAGAGTCCAGACTCCAGAGCAGACATGAATAGCAATGATATTGACAGATTCACAAATTGTAAACATAAATATCGATTGAAATAACAAAAATTAACTTACCGTTTCTGTGAAAATTTCATTCGAGTATTTCTACCAGCCTTGCCGACTGTAACTTTGCTGAGTGAGGCATATATCTGCCACTGACTATACTCGTTAATACGCGAACGGGCTAGCGACAAAAATACATGCCTTTTTAGTTTTTACTGCGCGAAACGATAACAACATTTTGAGGCAGAACCGCTGTACTGTTAGCCTGCGTGCAGGCCCAAGGGAACTGATAGTGGTATCAGTTCCCTTGGGCCTGCACGCAGGCTACTGTACTGTTTAAGCCAGTTTTCCACTTCAAGCGTGCCGTGCCGAAGCGTATCAAAAACATTTTTAAATTTCAAAATTTAGTGAATGTTGATTGGTCAGTACTTCCGCAGTACGCCAAAAAGTTGACTTGCGGCGAACTTTTCATTTTGATACGCGAATACACCCGGAAGTGTGTGGATTTGTTAACCTCTTTTCAATCTGCACATGCTCACCATAAAAAAAAATTAAAAAACATTAACTTCATTGACAAATTTCACTAAGAAACTGACCACTGAACAGTAATGACAGCATTTGAAGAGTGACAAAAGCTGCAAAACTATAGTGCTTCATGACTGACCTATCAAGTGGTCAGTTCATAAGTAGCATTACCTGCTGCACTAAAAAATAGGTACGCTAGGCTTACATGTGTCTGCGCAAAGAAATTGCATCGTTCATTCGTTCCTATGCATGAAAAAAATTTCATGCACAATTATTGAGTAAACATTCATATATTTTTGAAGTGACTATACAGCCGGCAGCCGGCTATTTAGTAAATTGCTGGCTGTATACAGCCGGCTATTTAGTAAAATACTAAAATGTAAATATATAGTAGTCTTCTTCAAAATCGCTCTTTGTGCCAGCACAACATTCCATTTCCTTTGTCGTACATTAGCCAATCAGATTTAGCAACATAAATATCTACATAAATTTAGCGACATAAATATCGTAATAAGTCCAAGGTCATAACTGCTAACCGTAACCTTTTGAAAGTTAGAAAAGGTGGGGAAAAAAGTTTAAAAAATTATTTAATAAAAAAATAGGCTAAGTCAGACAAAACACGACCCGACCCGCGTTTCACTTTCCGCATGCAGCGCCTTTACCGTATATAGCTGTATATGCTAACGGTAAGCTTGGTACAAGCTAGCACAAACAAAAGTTTTTATATTTAACTGTACTGTCACTATATAGCCAACAATTTACTATATACCCAGCTGTATTGTCACTTTGTTTATATTTGATGATATGATAAAGAATGTTCAGATTGCAGTCATGACAATCAACTGTCAAAAAGCCACCATTTTTATAATAAAAACAGACAGAATAAGAGTTAAAATGGGCATTTATTACTGTATCATGTATTCATGCATATATGCTCCATATAGAAATGAAAAAATACATACAGTCTGTAAATACATCTTATTAACTTTAACTCAACTTATGAAGCAATCCTATAATTATAAGTTGTCCTGTGACTAATGCACCATATAACAAAATTTTAACGTAACATAAGTAACATAATAATTCTAAAATCTAAATGATGTGACTATGAATGTACCATAACAAAATAATTATGAATGTATGAATAACCAACCAATATTAAAATAAAACCATCGATATTATTAAAAAACATGCAGGGTCACTCACGAAAAAGCTTTACGATGTTACTTTGGTCAATCTTCTGAGAGGGTCCTGAAGGGGGGGGGGGGTCCCAATCCCATTTCCCACCTGAAATTTTGGCAAAATCCCAGTCCCAGTTGGATTTTTATTAGAATTCCCAGTCCGAGTTATTGAAATCCCAGTCAATAAAAAACCCTTTATTTATCGGTAGAATAAACAGTTTTGAGACTTTTTAAGCCACCGGGGGGAGGGTCGTGCTGAAGGCACGGAAAATTTTAAAATTTGAATCCCGGAAATGGCATTTGCAGCATTCTGAGACACGCATAATCATAAAACCCAGAATTCCGGGCGCCAGAGTATGCTTGTTCGCAGTTAGTGCTGTAAATAACATAGTTAACAACAAAAATCATGACCAAAGACACCAAAAACAGATCAAAATTGTATTTAAAAATACTTAAAATGTGGAAAAATTGGGAATCGATTCACATTACCTCAATCCCATTCCCATTTTTGAGGACTTCATTTCCCATTCCCAGTGGCCAAATCCCAGTCCCAGCAACCCAAATCCCATTTTCCCAGTCTAAAAATAGGTCAATCTCAGTTCCCATTTTACCCGTTCAGGACCCTCTTCTGAGGATATAACAATCGGACAATTTAGCAGTCAGCCAAAGTCAAACCTCGAGTCAAAGTCCTAATTAGTCGACCTGAGTGTTTAACGTACGATCAGTGACACACACACAGAACTCGATGGCATAGTCACATACTCACATAGTGAGTGCAAGCCTTTCGCCAAATAATAACTGACCAAGTTATTATAATTCGGGAATTTGAACCATTCCACACAGTTGGGATACGGTCAAAATTCTCAATTCTGATCCCAATTTTTTTGGGACTAAGTACCAAACGCCAACAATGAATGATATTCTTTTGAAAAGATCAACTACCGGTAAAATTGAATGTCATGAGTTGTATTCTATCGAACGTGAACTATACGTGTACATGCAAACTGCAAAGACATACATAGAACAACTTCTCACGACATACCTTTTGCGACAACAACGGTTCGTAAACTTTCGCAAGCGTTTCGGGCAAAACTTCGGAAAATTGGCCAAAATACTTGAACACATGATAACAGAATGTAACTAGAGGGCACTCAGAGACTGCATACCTCCGCCTACGCGCAAAATATTGAAGTAATCTATTGTTATTAGAATTTGAATGGCTGGTGCATATATTATGCACGTCCTAATTACGCATTCAGTATAAAGTTTTATTTAATTGACCGGGAAAAGCAAGACAAACTTTTGTTATTTCTCATTCAATTTTTAACCAAATTCAACCAAATTTTAATCAGTTCTTCCGTAGCTGATGGGAAATGCACTCACAAAATTTCGTACGGATATGTTTGGTATTTCTTGAGTTATCGTGCTCACAGACAAACACACACACATACACACACACATACACACACATACAAACCCAGATGATTACATAACCTCCTGGCGGAGGTAATTAAACAAGACGCTCGGAAGAGCGTTAACTCGCTGGGGCTAATGGGTAGACTTGGTTCAAATTCGTCTCTCAGCGCAAGCGGTCAAAAGCTAATGGGCTATAGTGATACGCTTTTTAGATGGTACTACAATCATATGGCCAATCGAAGAGTTAATTGTGACCTGTCCCCTGTTGCAAAATGGCGGTGTCCCGCTCCGTGCCAAGTTTGGCACCGCAGGAGCAGCCTCGTACCCAGGCGCTAATAACGTACTAAAAATAGCAACACTACAGTGTTTTTATTCTTATAGTACGTCTTTACTCTCTGTCTGTTCTTATAAAAGCATAGTTAGCACTTAGTAGTCTTATATCGAACTTATATTTCATACAATTGTTCCTGTGGCTGTGCATCGCTGTCTTTGACTTTGTATTTCTGTCTTTGTCGGGCTATAAGATGTCATTTTGACCGCTTAACAGGATTTATTTGGCATTAATACATCTCCAAATTCATTGTTCTTGTCATTGAATCCTCAATGCAGTAAAATATCAGTTTTAAAAGAACGTAAACATATTCATACTGGTTAAAAAATAGCAGCTTTGGCTAGTTTTTTAGTAAAATTCTTGAATTTTTCTCAAAACTTAGGGTTATTTATAGATAATTTGGGTAAAAATTAGCAGGAGCCTTATGGATAATTTGGGTAAAAATTAAGTAGCTCATTATTATTCTATTTTGTGGCTATCAATCAGAGAAAAATGTGAGCCGAAATTTATACTCGCCAGGGCACAGGTGCCCCAGCGAGTAATTATCATATGACAACGGAATTTTATGCTAGTTTACAATCAAACTACGAAAAAGCGAAACTTGAATGGTTTGTAGATGGCTGAACGTTGTATCCCATGCAATATGGGCTTCCAGGATAAGGACGTAGGAAAATTGATATCACTGGTATTAGAGAAGCTCTCTGTTGTCTATTGATTTTCTGTGTTAAATCCTGCACTATTCAGGACGTACGTCTATCCATGGCGGTGCGGAATTTCATATGTTTGGTTTAATCTTACATTACCTGAGCTATCAATCAATACACCCTCTCTTCGAAACATTTTTCCAATGAAGGAATAAAGTTCCGATATATTCGAATTAATACTGGAGTGGAGTACAGGATAAACACCGAGGAGGGATTTATGTCAGATAATGACCCGAGGACGCGCAGCGTCCGAGGGCATTATCTGACATAAATCCCGACTTTCGAGGTGTTTATCATATTTATTTCTTGATTGAGGAGGTTTTCCAACAAAGTTTTGTTTGTTTCGTCTGCTTTGAAAGACGACTTTCTGACTTTTCATTCATCTTTTCGGCTAATTAATATTCAAGGTGATTATTAAAGATAATTACCTCGGTACATGAAAGAAAACCGACTCAATCAAGAATTAAGTACCAGTTATTTGGGAGACACATTAATTGTTGTTTTGGGAAAGGATCACTCCAAACATTTACCGGCCAGAACCGAGCCTAGCTCTTGTTAGGATAACTGGAATGTTAACTGTTTTAGAAAACTGGAATGTGAATGGACCTTTCCCCTTATAACTAAATTTTTTATCTAGACAAAAATTTCATCACAGCTTGAAAGAGCATCACAAAATTAGTAATATTCCAAAGTTTCCTTGCGAAATGTTGTAAAATGCGGATAATATAGCCTTGCGAAATTTGCCGTTTTTCCTCTCTCCTCCGCAGAGCCTCCTTAAGTATTTACAAATAACTTACATGAAGTTTCCTGAATTAAAGTGAGCGCGCGCGGTGTGATGGGAAGATTGAAATGAAGTTGGGGAGGCTCTGCCAGATAATGCGACGAAGTATGATTTTTGAACCAAACTAGTTGTTTGACCTTTTTTTAAACTTGAAATCGACGGAAATGTGAAAGAAATTGAAATGAATCTTCATAATCTGAGTATCGAAGTTCAATAGAGTCATTTTTGTAAAGAAATGTTGCAATTAAGAGGATATTTATAATTAGATAGCTCGTATCCATTGATATTCGTTTGCAATTTCTCAATATTTTTCGATGCAAATAGACAGAAGAAGATATTGATATTGAATTCACCCCAGGATACTCAAGTACGCCTGAAAATGAAAACATGTTTTAACACCCCCGG